TCAAGGCAACAGGAACAAACAACACTTCAAGCAAAGGTTATGCAACAGTTATGAGAAGGCAGAGGTTTCTGGGAATGGAAAGACTTGTCCGGGAAATAGCAGAAGTCTGGAAAATTACATATTCTTCAAATTCGCTTATTTTTATTTTTAAAAAATCCATTTTTCAGTAATAATCTAGAGGCAATGGCTCTGCCAAGCAGGTGAGTGAGATGCATTGCTTTTCTTCCTGGACACCATTGGTAACACACAGAAACAATCTACAACTCTAAGGTTGTCTATTCATAATAAACAGGGCACATGTTGTTATATTTCTCTTTTTCTGGAAGGTTAAAGCCATGTTCAGTGATCCCACATTTTTTAACAGGATTTATGGCACCGTTTCACGGTCCAGAGAAGTCTTAGGAAAAAATCCTCTATGTTTTCATGATGTACTTCCTAGGTGGATGAATTAAAATCACTGTAGTTAAGCAAAATCGTTCCACTGTCAGAGTATAATTTTTGAGAAAACATGGCATGGTGGCTGATACCATCAGTATTTAGGTTGTATTGTCTTGAGTTCAGATCTCAATGCTTCCACTTAAAATTCCTTTAACCTTTCTGTACATTGGTTTCCTCAGCAGCAAAATGGGGGGATAGTGACTGTTTTTGTGAGAATCAAATGAGACAGTGCTTATAAAAGGCACTTATAGCAGTGCTTGGCACAGAGTAGACACTTCATAGACATAAGCTATTATTACTTCAGAAAGGAAATATGCACACATCAGCTCATTTTCTGTATTTTGCCATGATCCATTCTTCTAGGGAATTATTATTGTAAAAAAAAGATTTGGAAAATGTTGATATGATTTTGGATGATTTGACTTTAACAGAAAAGCTAACTTAAAATGACATAAACAATAAGGAGATTTCTTTTCTAAATCTGACATTCTGTATTATACTGAAACTAAGATGCCACTGCTCATAAGATACAGCTCACATTCAAGGATATTAAAATGTACAAATGTGTCTGAGTCAAAACAAAAGGTCTGAGGGTTGGGGGTTCAGGACTGGTGATTTATGCTGTTCAACAGCATCATGAAGGACTCACGTTATTTCTCCTTCCACTCTGGCAGCCTTCGGTGCCTACTCAGAGAAGCCTCATGGATGCAGGATGGCTACGGCAGGTGCAAGCATCACACCTTCACAGTGTCCCAAAGCCAGAAGAGGGGCTGTTGTTTTTAGAAGCAAGAAAATATTCCTAAATTTCACCAGAATCCCGTATCACAGATCTTTTCTTAAAACAATACCTGGCAGGCCGGGCGCGGTGACTAACGCCTATAATCCTAGCTCTTTAGGAGGCCGAGGCAGGAGGATTACCGCAGGTCAGGAGTTCGAAACCAGCCTGAGCAAGAGTGAGACCCCATTTCTACTATAAATAGAAATAAATTAATTGGACAACTAATATTTATATAGAAAAAATTAGCCGGGCATGGTGGCACATGCCTGTAGTCCCAGCTACTCGGGAGGCTGAGGCAGGAGGATTGCTTGAGCCCAGGAGATTGAGGTTGCTGTGAGCTAGGCTGACGCCATGGCACTCACTGTAGCCTGGGCAACAAAGTGAGACTCTGTCTCAAAGGGAAAAAAAAACCCACAAAAACAAAAAACAATAACTGGCAAAGGGAATAGATTTATCAAGTTTGGTGCAAACTAAGCAAGATCTGCCCCTTGGGACTGGCAGTGGGGGCTCAGGGGGTTGCCCCTCCTGAAGCAGACCGCTGCTTCATAGCTGAACAGAGTCCAGGTTCGTAAGATGGAGGAAGAACAGGTTCAAGACATCTACCAACAGTGCCTGCCATTCAGAGTTACTTCCTGATATCGCTGGTGCAACTGTTGTAGATGTAAGCAGCCAACTGCTTGGAATACTACCCACCCTCCTTCATGCTCTTATTAATAAAATGAAAGATTCCTTTCTGCGTTAAGAAATTAACCTCAATATTCCAAAGACTCTGTTTTCTATTACCGTGGGTTTTGGATACCTGTCTTAAATCCTGTCAGTGACCACCCAAACACAGCAGTCCAGATGAGTAGATTTTCCCTTTGCACTCAGAGCTCAGATCCCTGAATAGCACTGGGGACTCCTGCTCTGCTCAGTTTGTGATCTATGTCTGTCACTTATCACTAGACTTATGACTCTTTCCATGTCAATAAATATAGATCTGCACTAGCCTTGTATAATATATAGCTTGTATAGCTATATAATAATTCTAGTGTATGTCAAATTGAAATGTACTAGATTTCACTAGTAATGAGTGCAAATGAGATCACAGTAACATTAACACTTCAGTCTCAACAAGCTCTGAGCCCTTGCCTGCTCATTCAGGAATTCTGATGCATTCTTTGAAGTTTCCCCAGTTATTTCTGGATTGCCCACACAGTGTACTGCACATGTGCTCAGGCACTAGGCCTCTTATTGTATTTTGTTCCAGCGTCTTGGCCACTGCCCAATTGTCCTGGCACCCCCATCTGCTGTGAGCCGGCTGCCGTTCCACTAGGCACAACTGTGCTCTGCAGGGGAAGCGGTGCCCAGTCAGGTGTGGAAGCTACACACTGGCCCACGGCAGGGTGAGGAGAATGGCCCTCACTGCACACTGAGTGGCAACTAGTTTGGGGCCCAGGACGGCCCTGCTAGAGCCTAGAGCCTTACAGTCTTTCACACATCAGCTCCTATAGCCTCTCATCCTCACTCTTCCTGGCACCAAGTGGCTCAAAGTGTTGGAGCAGGTGTCCATCATTCCTCCTTTCAACCTCATTTCTGATCTCATCCCCAACCACCCCTACGAACATACAAAATTCCTCTTCCTTCCTCTTTCGCCTGCTCCTTAAGGACCTTGTCTCAAAGTCCTTATATATAAGATCAACTTATTCATGGTACAGTACAGCTTCTCAGTAAACACATGAACTCTACAGGCTCGGATCAAACCCCAACTCTGCCAGTTACTATTGGTGTGGATTTGGGCAAGTTATCTAATCTCTCAATGGTTCTGTTTCCTCATCTGTAAAATGTGGATAGTGGCAGTATTTCATGGTACAGTTGTGAGGATTAAATGAGTTCATACACATAAAGTAACTGATGTAGTGAATGGCGCCTAGTAAGTGCTATGAAGTGTTAGCTGTCATTATACCTTGCCTAGGGCAAGTCACCATCCACCACTTTCACAAGCAGCTTTTGGCAAATTCCACACTTAGAATTCCCTCTACAAGTCTCAGGTGAGAGGAACTTACTTTGCAGGGAGGGAAGACATTCTTCTTTTCTGTATTACACAAAATAATTTGTCCTCAAGGGTAAGATAGAGAAATCCAACGACCGAAATTACTGCTAAATGATTATTTGCTGAATACTGACTGAGCACAGAGCAGGCCAACAACAAACCCGACACTGTAAAGGCATTAAAAAGAGGGAGGAGAGCAGGGCATGGTGGCTCATGTCTGTAATCCTAGCACTCTGGGAAGCCCAGGCAGGAGGATCGCTCACCAGCCTGGAGTTTGAAACCAGCCTGAGCAAGAGTGACACCCTGTCTCTACTATAAATAGAAAGAAATTAATTGGCCAACTAAAACTATATAGAAAAAAAATTAGCCACGCATGGTGGCACATGCCTGTAGTCCCAGCTACTCAGGACTGAGGCAGGAGGATCACTTGAGCCCAGGAGTTTGAAGTTGCTGTGAGCTAGGCTGACACCATGGCACTCTAGCCCAGGCAACAGAGTGAGATCCTGTCTCAAAAAAAACCCCAAAAAACAAAACAAAAAAAAAACCAAGCTGGGCTCGGTGGCTCACACCTATAATCCCAGCACTTCGGGAAGCGGAGGCAGGATGGCTTGAGCTCAGGAGTTTGAGGGTGCAGTGAGCTATGATGACGCCACGGCACTCCATCCAAAGTGGGTAACAGAGCAAGACCTTGTCTCAAAAAAAGAAAAAACAACAACAACCACAAAAAATTAAAAGAGGTATCTCCTGTCCTTTAAGAGCTTTCGATCAAATTAAGGGAAGTGAACATAAATAAATGCGATAGTTTGAAAATAAGTACCTGCAACATATTACCATACACAGAATAACGTAATCCACACCAAATGCCACAGAGATCTCTGCTATAATAATAACAACGGGTAGATGAGAATGGGGAGCGGGGAATGTAGAAAAGGCTCCGTGGCCTTGCAAATTTAACCTCCAAACAGATGTAAATTCTGACTGCAGGTGTCTTTTGCCCTACTGCTATGAATATTTCAAAAAACGAAGTCAGCGAGACTGCCTGAAAAATAACACTCAGAAGAGCAGTGGGTGTTGCATTGCTTTCCGTTCTTTTCATAACGTAATGTGCTACTCTTCCTGGTTTTTTCCCTTCTCAGAGTTAAAGCCACGCACGGGCGGTGGGACACAAGGCGGGCGCGGGGCTCCTGCGTCCTCTCCCGGGTCCTCCGGGCGGACGTGAGGGCCGGCCCGGCCCGGCTCTCGGGCGCCCCCCACCTGGGCCTCGCCCGTCTGCCCCCAGTTTTACCTGAGCGGGACGCAGAACGATGCCCTCGGAATCCCTCTCCCCTTCACTAACCCAACCAACCACCCCAAACGACCCCTCTCAGCGCCAGAGAAAATCCGCAGAACAATAAAAACGAAATCCGGCCAGGCCTCAGTTTCCTTATTGGTCCCTGCCCCCTCGAACTTTCTGGTCCTCCCCAGTGTCGGCCAGGGTCAACTTGTTAACCCCGAAGCTCAGCGACTTCCCGGCAGAAGCGACCCTGCAGTGGTTCTCCGCGATCAGGCTTCCCACCCGCCTGACCCTCTACTGCCCCTGGTGGCGGCCACCATCTTACCCCCGGCTCCGGAGGCGCGCTAAGGGTGAGGCCAAGCCCGCTCCCAGCGACGGTTGTTTTGAACTACACTTCCCATCAGCCTCTTCTTAACATCGCGAGAGCTCAAGCGAGACTGCCGGGAAGACTTGCGCGCAGGCGCAGCCTCCCGTTCTTTCCGGGGTCTGCCGCGTGGCTGGTAGTTATGGTGGTTCACGTCGGTGCTGAACTTAGCAGGCGTCCTCGGGCCTGCGGTGATGGTAAGGCTGCGGAGCTGTGGGGAAACGGGGACTTCCTCGACACGGCGCTAACACACTCGGCCTCCCCTTCGTCAGAGGCGAAGCGGTGACAGTGAGGCCGGTTCCTTTCTCATAGGGTGGTTGAGAGAGTTAACTGAGACACCGGATGACAAAGTGCTTTTTGGGCGGCGAGAAGCTGTATTGTGTGTAGGGAGAGAGCTCAAGCCGGTCTTTGGCGTCGAAGGCCCCCTCCTGCGGAGAGAGGCCCTCAACCTGCGCCGCCCGGCGCGCCCCACGGCCACGCGCGTGCTGAGCGAGGACGCCCGGGGCGCTCCCGCGTCCGCCCACGGGCCGTCTGACAGTGACAGTTCCTAATTCAGTGTCGGGACTGTTGACGTGGGAACACATGGCTCCACTTGGGGTGCCTTGAGGACAGCCCCAGTCAGTGCTTTTCTTTTCACTGTATTTTATTTTATTTTACATATTTTTTGAGACAGAGTCTCACGCTGTTGCTGGGGTCAGAGTGCCGAGGTGTCAACCTAGCTCACAGCAACCTCAAACTCCTGGGCTCAAGCTATCCTCCTGACTCAGCCTCCCAAGTAGCTGGGACTACAGGCATGCGCCGCCATGCCCGGCTAATTTTTTCTATATATATATATATTTTTTTGGTTGGCCAGTTTTCTATTTTTAGCAGAGACGGGGTCTCGCTCTTGCTCAGCCTGGTCTCGAACTCCTGAGCTCAAACAGTCCACCCGCCTCGGCCTCCCAGAGTGCTAGGATTACAGGTGAGCCACCGCGCCAAGCCAGTGACAGTTCTTAATTCAGTGTCAGGACTGTTGATATGTGAACACATGGCTCCACTTGGGGTGCCTTGAGGACAGCCCCGGTCAGTGGTTTTCTTTTCATTTTATATATAGTAATCAGTGGGATTGTAGATTTTCTTTGGAAATCTGTAGTTTTAATAACGAGCCCTCTTCCCTTCCCTGAAGGCCTTTGTTTGCCATCTGCAGAGACGGCGAGAAGCAGAGCGGCAGGTTGAAGCTTCAGAGTATGGATGGAGCCTTAAAATGAGTAAGAATGGGTGCAGGCACGACGTGAGTGGTCGTCAGAAATGAGAAAACAGTTGATATAACTCTGCTATCACATAAATCTGCCTCATACTTTGTTCCGAAGTTAAGTTTATCAGTATGTGTTGACACAGAAGTCTAATTAAGGTGTGAAATCTACTCAGAATTCAGAATGCTAATTCTTTTTTTTTGAGACAAGAATCTCATTCTTGCCCGGGCTAGAGTGCCATGGCGTCAGCCTCGCTCACAGCAACCTCAAACCCCTGGGCTCAAGCAATCCTCCTGCCTCAGCCTCCCGAGTAGCTGGGACTACAGGCATGCTCCACCGTGCCCGGCTAATTCTTTCTATGTATTTTTAGTTGGCCAAATAATTTCTTTCTATTTTTAGTAGAGATGGGGTCTTGCTCTTGCTCAGGCTAGCTTCGAACTTCTGACCTTAAGCTATCTGCTTGCCTTGTCCTCCCAGAATGCTAGGATTACAGGCGTGAGCTAAGGCGCCCGGCCTAATTCTCTTAATGCTAAAACTGAGGGTTGTGCCTTTGCAATTATGGGCCACTAGGTGTCACTGTTTGTAACCAACATGGATGGCACTGCACAGGGCTCAAAGGGAGACTTGGAAAATGAGTTTCGGTTGGCTGGCATTTAGGAATATTTGTCACTGGTTGAGCTGAGGATGATTTAAAGTTATCCCTGTCTGAAATGACATCTTGTATGAGGAGTTCCAACTTGCTGAGGCTCAGTTTTTTAATACAAATCTCGAGAAAATAAACACTTTAAGGTTGTTTCTGTTAGAATGAAGCATGTTATCCTTTCCTTTCAGATTAAAGGTGGTGGTTGTGGACTTTTAAAAAAGCCATGTGAAAACTCATCGTGAGATGTTGGCTGTCAGAATCTTCACGATGACATTTCTGTAAATGGTAAGCATAGGCTAAGCTTTTAAGTACTGGTCTGTTAGATTCAGGGTTGTCGGGGCCTTCCAGGATTGTGTCCAAACAGTGGAAGTAGTATTGAATTATTTTTGCTAGGCTCCTTGCTAAGCAGTCTCACAAACAGTATTTGTTATAACCACCATGTGTGAGGTAAGTTTTTTCCCCACTTTGCTTCTGAGTAAATAAATGAGGCTTAGTTCTCTTGTCCAAAGTTACACAACCAGTTGTTAGATTGGATTGATGGTTCTCAACAAGGGGTGGTAGGTGTTACTGGCATCTAGTAGATGCTGCTAAATACCCTGGAATGGTCAGGACGGCCCTCATGAGAAAGATTATTCACTCAAAATGTTAGTAAGGCTGAGGTTGAGAAACTCTCAGAACTGTACATTAGACTGGCTAGAGATCTGGGCTTTAGTCTGAGCAGATAACTTGTTTCTGCATTTGTAAAACAGGGTTAGTGGTTTCCAAACCTGACTGTATGTCAGAACCTGCTACAAAGTGTTAACATGTACACATTCCTGGGCCCCACCTTCAGCAATGGTTGAGAGTGCTTCTGGAGTGGAGCCCAGGAATCCTGTGGCCAGTCCAAGAGCAGGTGTATGGGAACATTTAGATTATCTGATCTGCTTTTAGCTCAAGGATTTTATTAGTGCAAGATTATAGTGCTGGCTATTTTTAAGTAGCTCTTGGAACAGATCTCTAATCCTCTCTCTTAAAAAACTGAAAACCCACATACTTGTTCTGCAGGGTAGTTTTGTATTATATATACAGGTGGGTGAAGGGAAAGTGACCTTGTGATGTTACCTCTTAGCAGCTGGTATCATTTGTGTGCTGGCCTTTAATAGGCTGGCTGAAACAGTGAGTGATCCGAAATAAAATAGACAAGATCGAGAGTTCTCATGAGGGAAGTAAAGCAGAATTTGATTTAAAAAAATAGTTTGCATGTGCTATGGCTGTCAGTGCTGTGGACTAGCAGATTGATGGGAGCTGAGTGCATGATGATCTAAAGTTATCCCTGTCTGAAGGCAAAGAAAGGCCTTTCTGTGTGGAATGTGGATGTCTGAAACTCAGTTTCCCAAGTTTGTCTTACATAAACCTTAGGCAATAATTTAAAAAATGGCTGAGAGTTACTCTGTATGTCTTCTTGAGTAGATTTTTTTCTTTTTTAATTCTTTCCCTCAACGGGTGCAGTCTTGGCCTCAATTTCTGAGGCTGAAAAAGGGTCTTCTAGCAGCTACACTGTGGCAGCTTCCCTGGCCCTGGACCTGAAGGAGACTGTCGAGTGCGTGTGAGCACGTGAGACCTTCCGCACAGGCTTAGGTGGGTAGTTCTTTTTGCTTCCCCTGCTTTGGACTTAAGGCTGTGCTAAGTGACAGGGAAACTTTAGCGGAGTCTTTTCTTCACTAGGTGTTTGCAGTGTGAGAGAGAACTGTGAACTGCTTTTCCTGAGGCAAGTGAAATGATTCCTGCTGTTTGTAAGCTTTTTTATATCTTGCATGTCCCTAAGACGCCCACAAGCCTATGATGGTTAGTTATCCCTGTCTGAAAATCTTGACTGAGGGAAAATAATCTATTCTGAGGCTTAAGGGTTTGGCCCTATTTTTCTTTTCTTTTCTTTTCTTTTCTTTTCTTTTCTTTTCTTTTCTTTTCTTTTCTTTTCTTTTCTTTTCTTTTCTTTTCTTTTCTTTTCTTTTCTTTTCTTTTCTTTTCTTCTCTTCTCTTCTCTTCTTTCTCTCTTCTCTTCTCTTCTCTTCTCTTTCTTTTCTCTTTTCCTTTTTTTTTTTTTGCCACCCCCCCCCCATACTCTCAAAAGAAATTCAGGCATTTTAGGGGATCAAATTGAATGGACCCCCACTCCAAAGAAACCCCCCCTACTGAGAGCCCTTCTATTGCTTCATCCCTCTGAAACTTGAATACCAAATGTGTCATTGCCCTGTTAATGCTCCAGCCCCTTGATTGATGGCTCTGAGGGTACAGGCTGTAAGAGGTGGCTGACATAGACAAGTAGCCAAGATTTGATTTATGCTCTTACTGTGGAATAAAAGAGTGCTTGTCACATTTCAAGAAAATGAATACGGTCTTTGAAACTGAGATGGGAATGTAAAATGTATGCCAGTTTCTGGCAGTAAGAATGCTTAACGACTTTGACCTTGCCTCTGCGCCAGTGTCCTGGCGTTTAAGGAAGAAGGGGCCCGCACCATGGCACTGGCAGAGCCGATTGGTTTCCAGGTGCTTTGTTAGCACCAGGGATACTCTCCTCTTGGATACTATCTGCTGTGATTGGCATGGGGCTGCTCCTTGGGCAGCAGAGGCTGGCATATGAACAAGAAAGAAACAAAAGTGGCACTTACAGGCAGGATGCCTGGCTTTGTTCCCATTTACATGCCAGGCTTGGAGTGGACACAGATTGCCTTTCTTTTCTATCAAAATTGGGAGGTGTGTTCAGACTCTTTGTATTTAAGGTCACATTTTTGCTTGGTCACCAAAGCAGCTGTATTTGAGGTAAGATTTAATGAGTCTACAAACTGGCTCCAGCAGTTTACAGCCTGTAAGTAAAACAGTGAAAGTGGAGCGAGTGGGGAAGATGTGCCTCCTTGGTTATCATTGCTTTTGAGTGGACTTGTCTGCTCTACAGAACTCAAGTAAACCTTAAGGTTTGACTTTAAAATGTTTACATCCAGAGTGAGTTTGAATATAAATATCTCTAGTGCTTCATGGGAATTCTTTTAAATTTTTTGATAGTGCCAGATTGTGCTGCCCACGCATATGCCTCATCGTGGTTAGAATGAGTGCTTCTGATTGCCTTTTTCTCCTGCATTTGCTGTTATAATGTAGCTTTCAGTTTTGAGTCACTTTCTTGGCTGTGTTTCAAGTTACTCTCCTTGGTTTTACAGGTTATCTGCCGGTGGTGTCAGATGGGATCAGCACAGCCCTGCCTCTGCTGCCAATTGCTAATGCCCATAAATAATCTCCCCAAAAAGAATCATTTAAGAGTTCTTCATCTTTAAAAGAATCTAAGTGACTTGAGATTATCCCAGTAAACCTTTGGCAGTTAGTGAAATTACTGTCCAACTAAGAATATTCAGACCTCCAGTTTGGGTGATCTGGGTATAATCTCACAATTCAATAGTTCTGCAATGATTGTAAAATGAAATTAATTAATCTTTATACTCTGTTAGGGGAGACTAAAGGGAAATGTATTTCCTATGAAATCATTATGTGTTGGGTTTAAATTTTGAAGCACAAATAAAAGTTTTTTTAATTGACTCACTGGCATTGTGGGTTTCAGATTGATGGAGAATGTCAGAATGATATTTTATTCTGTTACTAAGTAAACACATTCATATGAGTTTTAGAGAATAATACTTGACCCCAGTTATACAAAATGCCATCTGATATTTTGTTTCTTAGTTACCTACTAAATTGATTTTGTGTTCCACTAATGGGTTGTGATCCACAAACATTACTTTAGTGCTTTTACTTGAAATCTAATAATTGATAAAAGTTCTACCGGTATCTCCACAGAGTGGCTTCCAGGGATAGATAATGGTTCACATAGAACATCAGTGGTTTATTTCTTCATTTGTAATAGTGGTCAGAAAATTTCCAATACTGGCTTGCCAAGGCAATTGGGTTTCTTTACTAAAAGATCACTATGGTATGATAATAGGATGGATTGTGAATGTCAGAGGAATGTCTTGCATGTCCCATGTTTGACTATGTTCTTTTTTTTTTTTTTTTTTTGAGACAGAGTCTCGCTTTGTTGCCCAGGCTAGAGTGAGTGCCGTGGCGTCAGCCTAGCTCACAGCAACCTCAAACTCCTGGGCTCGAGTGATCCTTCTGCCTCAGCCTCCCGGGTAGCTGGGACTACAGGCATGCGCCACCATGCCCGGCTAATTTTTTTATATATATATCAGTTGGCCAATTAATTTCTTTCTATTTATAGTAGAGACGGGGTCTCGCTCTTGCTCAGGCTGGTTTTGAACTCCTGACCTTGAGCAATCCGCCCGCCTCGGCCTCCCAAGAGCTAGGATTACAGGCGTGAGCCACAGCGCCCGGCCAGACTATGTTCTTTTCAAACTCAGTATTCTATTGAAAGGAACATACCGCTTTCCTGGAGACTGAGGGACTCTTTGGTGTTGCCAAGATAAAGCGAGCCTGGAAGGCTTTGTCCTGGTGCCAGTAACTGAAATATCTCTAATTCCTCCTCTCCGGGCATCAGGATGCTATGGTTTCCCCGTGTAGCTGCTTTGGTAATTAAAGCCCAAACGACCATTCTGTTGGTCAGATGCCTCTGAATTTCTAAAGTAGTATTTTGTTTCTGGTGACTGAGTTAATCCCCATCCCTCTCGTTAAGTGTTCTGATAAAATCAGCTTTCCAAAACCACAGAACCAGAAGCTAGCTTGTGAGCTTTGGTGAACTTACCAACAGGGACCGATGCCGCCTTGGGAAGTCTCTTGCCAGCTATCCCTGTGGAGACCACCTCCCACCCTACCCACTCGCCCCGAATGGTGTAGCAAGTTATCAAGACAGTAGATAATGGCTTGCTTAGGAGCTGTGTGGTAACTTGTTTGGATGACACTTCCATAAAACCACCTATCAGCTATATAAGTTCAAAATTTACTGAAGCCATGATGTGAGATTGAGGGTTTATTACCTGGTAATGTCATCCTGTTGGTGACAAGATGGTGATACATCTTTAATAGGACTTAGTGGCAGGAAGGCTACTGAGCAATTGTCCCCTATTAAGTACCAGTGTTCTTGGATTTGGAGCATGATCTCCATCCTAAACACCCTGCATTACATATGATTTCTCTACTTTAACCAGCACAGAAAGACAAAACAGTCATCCATCGTTTATGCAGTTACCTAGTCTCATTACATTCTGCCTTTTCACCCACTGCCATGGGGCAGAAGTCTATCATGTTCTCAGAAAGGCTCTTCGGAGGTGTCCTGGAGTTGGATTGCGTTGGCCTTTGTGTGTGGTGTGACACACTGGGTGTGTAGGGGGGGGGGCTTGTTTTTTGCCTGTAGTGCTGCTTCATCGTGGTCAACCAACAGGCTCTGAGTTGCTCTGCCGACGTTCTTAAAGTCGCCTGGTAAAAACCCAGCAAAGCAGTCCCTTTTCCCTTGGCCAAGGTTGGGATGTCTGTCTCAGATCCAGAGAGTTTTCTTGGATGAGCCAAGGACAGGATAGGGTGTCCTGCATTGGACAGGCCTTGATGATAGTCACAAATCTCCCCCAGTGTCCTGTGGTGGGGATAAGGGGGGCCGAAGAGTCAAAGGCGTTTGGCCACTCAAGGGGACCAAGATCACAGCTCTTCAAGAAGCAAAGGGCTTGGTGCTTTGGGGTCAGCGCTGGTACAGCTGAAGGACACCTGCCTTATGCAGATCCCTCCACAGGGTGGCTTCGAGGAGCAGGTCATGGTTCGAATAGAATATCAATGGCTTCTTTTTTTGTTCGAAATAGTGGTCAGAAAATTTCTGGTAGTTCTTTGTGATGAATCCATAGGCACTGACCTAGACAAGGGTAGTCACTGAGTTAGTATTTACTGAGCTCATATTGTGTGTAGACAGACTGAAGTGACATGAATTCACAAAGGTGTGGCCCCTCTGCTGGGGGAGTCTGGGTGAAGATACAGATAATGTATTTGAAAAGGCTTATCCCCATTTAACACGTGGGAAACAGGCTCAGGGAGTAACTAAACAGGAGCTGGGTTTGGAACTCAAGGATAGAGGCAAGAGCCCATCACTGCAGTCCAGAGACTCCTGCATTACCATAGGGAAGAGGTGCAGGCCAGGGGCATGGAGTGGCTTTTGGCCTTGAGCTCCCGGGCTGGCTTTAACATATGCCTCTCTTTGAAAGCCGCTTTTCAACCTCTGCCTCCTTAAATGTCCATATGGGCAGTATCCCATCGGGAATGTCTCATATGGTGATTTTAGAATTTCTGTATGGTTTTTGTGTGGGAGGCTAAACCTCCTGCTCCACCCCAGGATGTCCCTATAAAAGAATGTCCCGGCCGGGCGCGGTGGCTCACGCCTGTAATCCTAGCTCTTGGGAGGCCGAGGCGGGCGGATTGCTCAAGGCCAGGAGTTCAAAACCAGTCTGAGCAAGAGCAAGACCCTGTCTCTACTATAAATAGAAAGAAATTAATTGGCCAACTGATATATATATATAAAATTAGCCGGGCATGGTGGCGCATGCCTGTAGTCCCAGCTACTCAGGAGGCTGAGGCAGAAGGATCGCTTGAGCCCAGGAGTTGGTGTGAGCTAGGCTGACGCCACGGCACTCACTCTAGCCTGGACAACAAAGCGAGACTCTGTCTCAAAAAAAAAAAAAAAAAGAATGTCCCTAGTTCTGTTGAGAAGATTTTGCTGTCAGGAGGTTGATAATTTGCACCTTAAATACCATATTAAGCAGCTGCCTTGGGGAGGCTGGAGAAGGAAGCAGGTGGTGGTGGGGGCCAAGGCAAGGCCAGCCCGGGACCTGCCTTTGAATGCCTGGATGGCGCACAGGCGCAGAAGTGAGTGGCAGTGGCCCTCCTGCAGCTGGGGAATTCCACTACAAATAGAGGCCAAGAGTCCCAGGCCTGAAGGTGGCAGGCCTCAAGGTAAGGAATAGCAAGTTTTATATTGGGTTCTGTTCACACCTGTGCTCTGCAGCCATGGCCTCCTGAAAGAGAAGCCCTCTTACCTGGTCACAGGTATGCAAAGCTGTCAGCAGCATGAGGGCCCCAGTACTAGGCATATATAGGTCTCCAAAATTTGTGTTAATTAACTTAGATTTCAAAAACCTGTAAGAAAAAAAAGAGGTTAAAATTCGAGAAAGATCACACTTGACAACTACCCACTCAGATTAGAAAACTTCAAAAATGCTGGCCCTTCCACCTCAATCAAGTCCCTATTTGGGGAAAAAGTCAAGGGAACCCCTAAATGCAACAATCTTAGGTTGAAATAAAACACCATAGGTGAAGGGGGATAGTGGTGAGAAAGAGCAACTGCAGATGAAATCCTTCTCCCACTCTGCAATACCCTGTGTTCCTCCTGCCCCCCACTAAGTAACCACACTGCGTAGGGCATAGGTGGCCTGTTTGTTTAGTCTGAGACTTGAATTTCTCTCCATCCCACATCGTGACCAAGCAGGAATCAGTATGAGGGACAGGGAGCTCAGGTGCTGTGGCTGGGCTCACTGGTGTGATGGGGTGCGCCCACACATGCACATGGCCCAGCGGTCCAAAGATGAGGCTGCAGTGTGGCGATCATGGGCTCTCACCTCTGGGCCTGGCTTTTCCTCTAGCGTGGGGACATACCTGTGCTAGGGCTTCAGTTGGCCTCCCCAGATGCACTTGCTGCCCTTGCCCCCCTGCTCCCTGTTCCGGGATGCTGGCCTCTGTGGTCCGCAGGGTTTCTCAACCAAGGCAAGATTGACATTTGGGGCCAGATAGTTCTCTATTGCAGAGGCTGCCCTGTGCATTATAGGATGTTCAGCAGCATCTCTGGCCTCTACCTGCTAGTGGCACTCACTACCCTCCAACCTTGTGACAACCAAAAATATCTCCAGACAGGACTATAATGGATCTCCCCCCAGCCCCCTGCTCCTGCCCCCAGCATTGAGAACCGCAGGTAGGAGAGGAGAAGGAGGAAAGTGAGGTCAGGCTGTTTGTTCCCCAGGCTCCTTGCTGGCCAGTTGCCTTGGGCTGGCTGTGTTTGGGCCTAAAAGTGATGACAGCTCTGTTTCTATGGCCCCACGACTGCCGTACACCTATGGCCCCCCAGACCCTGCCTATGCCTTTGTGAACAGTCCCTAGTAAAGAACTAAAGTAGTAAAGAACTCCTTGAGTTATCCCGAGTTTCCCATCCATTTCCTGTTGAACTTGACCGATATAACACCACCTCCATCAAGGTGTTAAATAAAATAGTAAATGAAAATAGAAAGTGCTTTGCACGGAGCACTCAGCGCAGGAGAGCTCTGGTTATGGGGAGTGCAGGGGCTCTCGGGGCGCCGCCTGGATGTGGGGCAGGTGTGCAAGAGGGAAGGGATGGGGAAGCTGTTCCACCCGGCACCCACTTCCATACCTCTCTGTCAGGTAGCTGATGAAGTCCGGATGTAGCAGCTTGAATTTACTGGCAGAGGCTTCTGGTCCGAAATAGGTGTGAGGCCTAGGACCCGCGATAGAAGTGGACAGAGCGCCCGGACCCATCGTATTGGAGGTGGGAGATGGAGGGGAGGGGCAGGGGGGGGGCGCGCCTGCGGTAGGAGCGGGGTTGGGAGTAGAAGCGGGAGAAGGGTGTGTAGAAGGTGGCCGGCAGCACGGTGGGAACCACATGTGGCTTCCCACCCACCAGGACGTCCATGGGTGGGGAGTAGGAGAGTGAGGAGGGGGGTATGAACAGAGCGGGAGGGGTCGGGTAGGAGCAGGTGGTATCAGGCTGGTGGGGGGGCGGGGGGAGGAGAGGGAAGTAGAGCGACTTGGGAGGGGGTGGGCGCTCTGGGGGAGGGCAGGGAAAGGGACAGGGAAAGCAGCGGTTCTGGGGCAGGGGTGCTGTAGGGGGCTGGAAAAAGGGAGGCTCCTTCAGAAAGCGGGGCACATAGGGGGTGATGTGGGACGGGATGGGCCGAACGGGCCCGATATAGCAGGCTGAGGTGGCAGGGCTTTGGGAGAGGGACCTGCCCATGGGCATAGAAGGGGTCAGGGAAGGGTTTCGGGAGAGGGGTTTAAAACCGGACTGGGAGGGAGATTTGGAGGCCGGCGGAGTGGGGTTTTGGGAAGACCCTCGGGGTGCATGTTGGACATGAGGACTGGGGGTCAGGGAGGAAGCCCGGGAAGAGGGCTGTGAGCCAGTCGGGGTGGGAGGGTGTGAGGGTGGGCGGGAGGAGCCCCGAGTTGGGGAAGGGGAGGGGGCCGAGCCTCCGGAGCTAGAATAAGGCTGCTGACCGGCCGGGGTGACAGCATTGTTGGATCGGGACTGGGAAGGGGACTGGGTAGGGGATGGAATAGGGGTGTGGGAGGGGGAGTTCATTGGTGTTGGGGAGGCTTATGTCCACCTGATGTCCCTAGGGCAGCCCCCCCAAGGCCCAGTCCCACGGTGTCACAAAGCCCAGGTCATGACCTGCAGCAGCTCCAGAGCGATTGTTGAGTCATCACCAGGGTGGGGGTGGGGGTGGGGTGGGGGTGGGGTGGGGTGGGGGGCAGGGCAGGGCTGGCTTTTGAGGACTTAACCAGTAAGGACCACCTCGAAAACCCTTCTCTGGGGTTGGGGGAATGTCCCGAGGGCACCAGGATAAGTGGCTGGTCATCCTGGCGTAAATTCCTATGGACATATACATTTCCGATCTCAGGGACAAGAAATTATCTCAGAACCGCAGGGAGAAGGTTCACATGAGGGTCAGGACATGGTTCAGAAGAGCTGGACCCAGGCCTGCCATGCAGGAAGGTGGGAGAGAGAAGACAAAGTGCCCTTTGTTCTCTCCCCTCCGGACACTGGGCCTACGGGGCCTGCTGTCCCGTTTCCTGGGCACGGCCCTGGGAAGGTGTCCCCAGGAGGAGTGGTGTGGACTGGCCCCTACCCTTGGTTTCTTTTTTTTTTTTTTTGAGACAGTCTCCCTTTGTTGCTCAAGCTACAGTGAGTGCCATAGCATCAGCCTAACTCACAGCAACCTCAAACTCCTGGGCTCAAGCAATCCTCCTGCCTCAGCCTCCCGAGTAGACTGGGACTCGGCTCGCCACCGATGCCCGGCTAATTTTTTCTATGGTATTTAGTTGCACATTAATTTTTCTATTTACAGTAGAAATGAGAGTCTCGCTCTTGTCAGGCTGGTTTCAAAAGGGGTCTCCTGACTCGAGCAATTCGCCCCGGCCTCGGCCTCCCATAGTGCTAGGATTACAAGGCGTGAGCCACCCGCCCGCCTACCTTGGTTCTAGAAACGTGATTCTCGGCAGGACGTCAATCTTGTGGAGCCAGCACCGCTCGGTCAGGGGTGCTGGGCTGGCTATGGAGGCAGCGGCCTGCAGTGCAGAGCCGGCCTGCTGGCTCCATTCGCACAACTGCCCTCTGGCCTATGGCATCAGGAGGGTTACGGAGACCAATAGGGTTCTGGGCTTTCCTGGCTGTAGCTGAGACCAGCATATAATTCCAAGGCTCAAGCACTCGTGGGAGGCGAGGCATGGCAGATTGCTCCGGTCGCGTTGGAAACCACCCTGCGTTGAGACACACATAACACACACACAAACCACGCCCCCCACACACCAACACCGTCTCTCTCCTACTACAAATAGAAATTTAATTGAACCTAAAAATAGTTTCCCAGAGTAGCCGGATGGTGGCACATGTCTGTAAGTAGACATTAATTGACCACCTAACAATATATAGTAACAACAAGATTGCCGGCATGGTCGGCCAGTGCTGTAGTCCCCAGCTTACTCCGGAGGCTGAGGCAGGAGATGGCTTGAGCCCAGGAGTGTGAGGTTGTTGTGAGCTAGGCTGACGCCACGGCACTCACTCTAGCCTGGGCAACAAAGCGAGACTCTGCCTCAAAAAAAAAAAGAAAAATTCCCCAAGGCTGAATTGTGTTGAATAATTGGGGATTATTGAATGCTTGGAATTTTCTTGCCACTCTTCCCCCAAAACGGGCCCTGGGAGGGAGGGGAGACAGCTGCGGCATCACCCACCCTGTGTGACACGCGTCACCACCTGGCTGCTCACCTGTCCCCTTCATCGCGGCCCTCGGGGACGGGCACACCCAGGATGGCCGATCTCAGCATCACGTAGTCTCGGATGCCTGAGGGGATGAAGATGTAGCGCAGGTCCTGTCAGAGCAGAGACAAGCCCAGAGGGCAGCGAGGCCACGTTAAGCTCCTGTTCAGTGTGGATACCTGTCCACCCCATCGCGGGTAAGCTGACTGGAGAATTTCTCTCATACACCCTTTATTTATTTATTTATTTTTGAGACAGAGTCTCACTTTGTTGCCCAAGCTAGAGTGAGTGCCGTGGCGTCAGCCTAGCTCACAGCAACCTCCAACTCCTGGGCTAGAGCAATCCTCCTGCCTCAGCCTCCCGAGTAGCTGGGACTACAGGCATGCGCCACCATGCCCGGCTAATTTTTTTTTCTATATATATATTCGTTGGCCAATTAATTTCTTTCTATTTATAGTAGAGACGGGGTCTCGCTCTTGCTCAGGTTGGCTTCAAACTCCTGACCTCGAGCAATCCGCCCGCCTCGGCCTTCCAGAGTGCTAGGATTTACAGGCGTGAGCCACCGCGCCCGGCCTCATACACCTTTAACGTCCACTCTGAGGTACCATGGCGGTTTCAATATGTGTTCACAACTTCTTGGGTATTTCTCCCAGCAAGAGAGGAAGCCTAACGGCCATCCCCTTGAGTACAGGCTGCACTGAGTGACTAAGGCATAGGATTTTTCTGATAAATGGTAAGTGGGTAGCCAGATGTGTGGACACACTTGTAGTCCCAGCTACTTGGGAGGCTGAGGCAGGAGGATGGCTTGAGCCCAGGTGCTTGAAGTTGCAGTGAGCTATGATGATGCCTCTGCAGTCTAGCCTGGGTGACAGAGTGAGACTCTGTCTTAAAAACAAAAAAAGAAAGTGGAAAGTGACGATGTGGGACTTTGGAGACTAGGTCGTAAAAGGTGCTTCGGCTTCCTGGCTCTCTCAGCTCACTCTTGGTTAACGTCTGGGTGACATGACGTTAACTGCCATGTCGTGAGGACACTCGAGTGGCCCATGGGGCGGCCCAGGTGGCAAGGGCTGTGAGTGTGCCATCTTGATGCTGGCACCAGTCAAGTCTTCAGATGACCATGCCCACCACCCGCAGGGAGACCCTGAGCCAAAACCACTCCACTAAGCTGCTCCCAAATTTCTTGACCTATTGAAACTGGAAGATAATAAATGTTTAAATCCACCAAGTTTTGGAGTCACTTGTTACACGGCAATAGATAACTCATACAGGTATGGTGGCCACAGCCGCGTTTTGTTCTACCAGGAACTAAGAGAGGTTCTTCTTGTGAGGACTCAGTGTGTACACACTAATTCCCTGGTCAGAGGAAGATTCTAGAAACCCAGCTCAGCCTTATCCAAGACCACAGAACCCCTTTTCCCGGGATCTCCCTAACCCTGTATAGGATACTCAGAGCATGTGAGGGGGCAAGTGTGAATTTATGGCAACCGGGTGTGGTTGGAAGAACCTGAAGGCCAGTCCAGATGGACTCAGATGCCGGCTCCCCAGCTCACTAGTGGCCACCTGGGGCATGTTCCTCAATCTCTCTAACCCTCAGTTTCCTACACAGGGCTGTTGGAAAGAACTGGAGAGGTCACACACCATTCCTTGGGTGGGCAGGGTAAGGAAATGGAAGCAGACCCTAGCACTGGGGTCAGAGGGGCCTGGATTTTGATGACTCTAGTCAGGTGACCTTGGACTTGTTCCCAAACCTCTCGGTGTCTCAGCTCTGCCACCTGGAACTGGGCACAATGGTCCCATTCGGGGCTGCTGGGATTGACCGTGTCTATGCCCCGTGCGATGCCGGGAGCAGAGGAGGTAACACTCCCCTTGCCTGTGCACAGCTACGACCCGCTGAGCTCCCCGCGGGATGCGAGCTCCGGGGGCACAGTCGGCATGGGAATCCTGGCTCTGTCGCCAACGTGCTGAATAAAAGGGCACCGAGCTTCAGTCACCAGTAAGGTGGGGTTGGCATGGTATCTGTAAAGTGCCTGGCACACCACGAGCACTCAGGGAACACGAGCCATTCACACGCCATGCTCCAGAGGTGTCCTGTGCCACCAGCGCCAACGGCAAGTCCCTGACTCGGTCCTCCTTCACCCCAGCGGTGCCATCTTGTGCAGCCGAAATCCTGGACCCTGTGGCCCACCCCACAGTCACCGCCAACCACAAGGGCACGCCCGCCGGGGGCCTCACCTGTCCCTGCGGCACAGAGGTGAAGCCGAGCTTGCCGTAGGAGATGAGGGAGTTCTTCATCGTGTTCACAGTGAAACCGTAGAAAGAAGTCTTGGTGCCCACGTCGCGCTCGAAGCCCTTGATCACAGCGCCATTGAGCCTGCGTGCGTCAGCACAGAGACCCATCAGCCTCTTCGTGGCTACAACGTGCTGTCTGTTTCACTTCCATCTCCATGGCCCTGCCTTCCTGTCCCCGTGCCTCTGGGTGGACGCTCCCTGTACCCACGGCAGCGCCAGCGCCCAGTCGGCAGCCTGACCCCCACGCCTCCGGACTTCAAGGGACAAGGCCCTGTGAATAGGTAAATCTGGCCCTGGAGGCTCCTTCCTCCTGGGTCCGCTTGCACATGGCACCCACACTCTGTCTTCAGGGCCGACGGCACAGGCTTTCACCCAAGCCCGTGTGCCCGCCGCCACCACGGCTGAGCTGCCTAAGGCCACTGAGGCCACAGCTGCCTCGACTCCCCGTCCCCAGGGAAGGTGCTCCCCCAGGGCTGGCCGGCCCCTGCCCCTCGTACCTGAACACATAGTCATGGGCGTCGATGTTGGCGCCCTGGCGGGACCCGTTGAGAATGCCTCCGTTACCCACCACGGCACAGCGGACGCAGCCGGGCGGCGGCTCCCCGGACAAGGGGAACAGCTCTGCGCTTTCCGAGCCATTGAGAAGGCTCAGGGTGGAGGTGATGACTGGGGGGGGGGGACAGGGGTGGCCATGAGGGGACAGGTGGCAGGGTCATCTGGGGCCTCCCAGCCCAGCCCCTCCTAAGAAGCACAGAGGGTGGGAGGAGAAGGAGACGACAGAGTTCGAGAGGACTGGAAGGGGGACGGTGAGGGAGGGGGCTTGGTGGGCCTTCAGTTTCCTAAGAACTCCAGTAACTCGTCCTCTCAAGACCAGGTGTTTTCCCAAAACAGAATCCGAGGCCTGGGTGGTGTAGGGGTGAGGGGAACAGATTGGCATGGCGTGGAGAGGCCTCTGGGCCCGGACTGTGGCGGTTCCCGCAGCAGAGACCGCGAGTGAGGCTGTTTGAGGCCCCCTGGCCTCTGTCCTCAGCCACCACTGGCCACTGGAGCTTTTCATGCCAGGGAGGTCCGTGATGGTGAGAGCCACCGGGTAGGGGCGGCCCCAGCCCTGTCACAGCCCGCTGGGTGCCTGGACAGAGGAGGGCGGTGAGACAGGAGTCACATGGCGGGGGCTCTGGGAGGAGAGGGGACACAGACAGGACCAGCCTCCCCTGGGGCCAAGAGTGGGAAGCTGAGGCAGCGGGCGGCCTTACCTTGGCGAGAGAGCCCCTGCCAGCCGTAGGGGGCCCTGTGCTGGCTCAGGCTGTCCCAGAGCTCCGGGGTGAGGAGGCCCCCCCACAGCAGCACTGGGGAGGAGAAATCAAACAGCCTCCGGAAGCGGCGGTGCCGCCCGACCGCCAGGTGCAGCGGGTGTCGGCAGAGCCGGCCCTGTGGGTGGGAAGGTGACAGGGCTGAGCCCAGCTAGGAGGGGACTTGGGTGGAGGGGAGCCCCCCGGGAGCCCGCAGACCCCGCAGCAGGGTTGGGAGAGGAGACCTGCCCTTCCCCTCCAGCTGGGCCATCCCTGAATCTTTGGGCTGAGCTGGCCGATGGGGGTCAGAGAACTTTCTGGACTTAGCCCACCCAGCCCTCCGTCTCCTGGATGCCAGTATGGCCCTGGCCTCATACTCCTTCACCTCACACTTGGGCAAACTTTGGGGCATTTTCCAGGGCATGGGTATGACCTGCCTGCCCCTTTGGTGGAGGAGTTCCGGCCTGGGTTTGGGGATCTGTCAACCCAGGTCCAAATCCCTGCTCTTTTTCTTTTTTTGAGCCAGAGACTCACGCTGTTGCCCAGGCTAGAGTGCCGTGGCATCAGCCTAGCTCACAGCAATCCTACTGCCTCAGCCTCCCGTGTATCTAGGACTACAGGCATGCACCACCATGCCCGGCTAATTTTTTCTATGTATATTAGTTGGCCAATTAATTTTTCTATTTATAGTAGAGATGAGGTCTCGCTCTTGCTCAGGCTGGTTTCAAACTCCTGACCTCGAGCAATTCGCCCGCCTCGGCCTCCCATAGTGCTAGGATTACAGGCGTGAGCCACCACGCCCCGGCCTACCCTTGGTTTCTAGAACAGTGTGCTCGGCAGGACGTCAATCTTGTGGAGCCAGCACCCTCGGTCAGGGGTGGCTGGGCTGGCTATGGAGGCAGCGGCCTGCAGTGCAGGAGCCGGCCTGCTGGCTCCATTCAGAAAAACTGCCCCTCTGGCCTCTGGCATCAGGAGGGTTACCGGAGACCAATAGGGTTACCTGGGCTTTCCTGGCTGTAGATAAAAAGCATATAATTCCCCAAGGCTCTAGCACTCTGGGAGGCCGAGGCAGGCAGATTGCTCAAGGTCAGGAGTTGGAAACCACCCTGAGTGAGACACACATACACACACACAAACACACACACACACACACACCCCGTCTCTCTCTACTAAAAATAGAAATTAATTGACCAACTAAAAATATATATACAAAAGATTAGCCGGGCATGGTGGCACATGTCTGTAGTAGAAATTAATTGACCAACTAAAAATATATATACAAAAGATTAGCCGGGCATGGTGGCGCATGCCTGATATACATTATAGTATTAAGCCGGTTGATTGGTGCGCATTGTCCTGTATGTCCCCAGCTTCTCACGTGAGTGTCTGAGCAGGAGATGGCCTTGAGCCCAGAGTGTGAGGTTGTTGTGATGCTAGGCTTGACGCCACGGCTACTTTCACTTCTATTGCCTGGCAACAAATGCGAGACTCTCGCCTCGAAAAAAAAAAAAGAAAATTCCCCAAGGCTGAATTGTGTTGCAATAATTGGGGACATATTGAATGCTTGGAATTTCCTTGCCACTCTTCCCCCAAAACGGGCCCTGGGAGGTGGAGGGGAGACAGCTGCGGCATCACCCACCCTGTGGTGACACGCGTCACACCTGGCTGCTCACCTGTCCCCATTCATCGCGGCCTCGGGGACGGGCCACACCCGATGGATCGGCGATCTCAGCATCACGTAGTCTCGGATGCCTGAGGGATGAAGATGTAGCGCAGGTCCTGTCAGAGCAGAGACCAAGCCAGAGGGCAGCGAGGCCACGTTAAGCTCTCCTGTTCAGTGGGTGGACACCTGTCCACCCCATCGTGGGTTAAGCTGACTGAGATTCTTCTCGATAACCTTTATTTAATTTATTTTTTGACAGAGTCTCACTTTGTTGCCCAAGCTAGAGTGAGTGCCTGTGCGCGTCCAGCCTATAGCTCACAGCAACCTCAAACACCTGGGCTAGAGCACATCCTCTCTGCCTCTCAGTCCTCGCCGAGTAGCATTGGGGACTACCAGGCACTGTTGCCAACCATGCCCGGTCTACATTTTTTCCTTTTCTATCTCATACTATTAGTTGTGCCAATTAATCTTCTCAATTTATAGTACGAGGGGGTCTCGCTCTTGCTCAGGTTGCTTTCAAACTCCATGACCTCGAGCAATCCGCCCGCCTGGCGCTTCTCAGAGTCTAGATTTACATGGCGTGAGCCACCGCGCCCGCCTCCATACACCTTTACGTCCACTCCTGAGTACCATGGCGGGTTTTCGTATGTGTTCACCACTTCTTGGGTATTTCTCCCAGCAAGGAGGTGAAAGAAAAAAAAAATAAAAAGAAAAAAAAACAACATAATATATATAAAAAAAAAAAAAAAAAAAAAAAAAAACAATAAATATATACAAACTAATATATATAATAAATGGTAAAATTAAGCGGCATGGTGTGGGCAGCCTGTGAGTCCGTGATCACACTGGAGGCTGAGCAGTAGGATTGGCTGTGAGCGTAGGCCGATGGCCACGGCACGCTCAGCCCTGGGCAACAGCGTGAGTCGTCTGGCTCAAAAAAAGAAAAGAGCCCAGGGATTTGATCCTGGGTTGACAGATTCGCCCAAACACCAGCCGGAACTACTCCACCCCAAAGGGAGGCAGGCAGGTCTATGACCCCAGCCCTGGAAAAATGCCCCAAGTTTGCCCAAGCTGGTGAGCGTGAGAGTATGGACGGCCAGGGCCAGTACTGGCCAGTCCAGAGACGGGAGGGCGTGGGTGGGCTAAGTCCAGAAAGTTCTCTGACCCCCCCATTTCGTGGTGCCACTGTCTCTATGTCCCACAAGATTTCAGTGGATGGCCCCCACTCAGTTGCTTTGGAGG